GAGCCCTGACCCTTGCGCCCACCCTTCCCCCAAGGCCCTGCCCCTATGCCACCCCTTCCCCAGAGGCCTCGCTTCCGTGCCACCTCTTCTGCCCAGGACCCCACTTGCTCCTCTCTGCATCCTTCCCCGTGTTGCTCACCCTTACAGCTGGTAAAAATTGATGGGGCCATGGTGCCTTGGTACCCCCTGGCTCCCATGGCTCCCTATTCCGGCACCCCCAGTACTGAGCAGTAGTCTACCTTATGTGGTGTCTTTTCTTCAGCAGTGGCAAATACCAGATGTTTCAGAGGAAGGCACAAAGCTTGTTTAATGTATCTAATGAGCTTTAGTTGGGAACTGGAATTTCTGATCAGTGAAAAATTCCAACATTTTGAACGTTTCTTTTCTTTAGAATCAAAATGAAAATCTGAAATTTCTTAATTCCCCACAAAATGAAAATACCAAAATATTTCAATTCAGGGACCATGAAAAAGTTTAATTTCAATATGGTTGACATGTTGAAATGTTTGAATGTTTGTACATGTTGAAAACTTTCAGTTCCTTTCATGATGACTTTAATATGATATTTAATATCATCAGACAATATAAAATATCATCTTAAAAATAGTATTTGAATAAAATGTAAAAGTCAAAAAGAAATGAATAGAAATGTCAAAATAACATGAAGATTCTTGACATTTTCAAAATGAAACTTTTAGATTGTTTCCTATCAAGAAGGCAACACATTCCCACAAAACGTTTTTATTTTGGCAAAACTGCATGTTTCAATGGAAGACTGGTCAGTTGATCACGTTTCAATAAGCCATAAACTTAACTATGCATTGCAATGCGATGCAATTCAAAGGGGAAATTTGTTCTTGGCCCATACTTTATGAAGGCAATCTATGAAGGGACAACCATTGGAACAATTTACCAAATGTCATGGTGGATTCTCCATCACTGGCAATTTTTAAATCAACTGGATGTTCTTCTAAAAGATCTAATCTAGGAATTATTTTTTGGGACGTCCTATGGCCTGTGGTATATTGGAGCTCAGACTAGATGATCACAGTGGTCCCTTGTGACCTTGGACTCTATGAATTATCTCCTCTCTCCCCCATGATGCAACACATAATAGACAAGGAGTCTAACGTTACAGCACCTCTTCACCTGTAAATGTATTCAGTGGAATGTACCTGAAAATTGGTAGGAAGGAACCATTTCACAGTTCACCAACGATACCCCCAGAAAGTTTATGCTCAATGTAAGCCCTCAAAATAGGGCTTAAGTGGTGCATGGACTTTGCACTGTGCAAGTTTCACCTTAGAAGGAGAACAACCACAAATGGAAAGTTATTTGCCTGTAATTGAGATCCAACCCCCTGCTCAAAGCAGGACCAACACCAACTAAATCATCCCAGCCAGGACTTTGTCAAGCCAGGCCTTAAAAACCTCTAAGGATGGAGATTCCAACACCTCCCTAGGTAACCCATTCCAGTGCTTCACCACCCTCCTAGTGAAATAGTGTTTCCTGATATCCAACCTAGACCTCCCCCACTGCAACATGAGACCACTGCTCCTTGTTCTGTCATCTGCCACCACTGAGAACAGCTGAGCTCCATCCTTTTTGGAACCCCCCCTTCACATAGTTGAAGGCTGCTATCAAATCCCCCCTCACTCTTTTCTTCTGCAGACTAAACAAGCTTCTAACTGCAAACTTCTGACTTGCATGGACATGCACTTTATACCTGGCTTTTTCAAACTGTGGGAGCTGCATGGTGTCTGAGTCAGGCCTGAATTTTACTCTTTATTGAATATCTTGAAAAATGTGAATGGATTCTCTGTTAGGTTCCCCCCGTTGGTTTGTTCCAGCTATACAACTACCGTCTCCTCACACATCCAGCAGGAATTCTGTTGCAGTGACTTTCCTGCCACTAGGGGCAGCTGTTGGTCTGCTCTTTAGAGCAGGGCCGTCTGTAACATCTTCTCCTTTGCTCTCAATGCTCCCTCTGGTGGTGCCCAGCCAGCCTGGAGCTGCCAGTGGAAAGCGAGTAGGAGGGGGAAGAAGCAGCAGCCAAGCGCCCAAAGGCCTGGCTGGCAAGCGGGGGAGGAGATAGATTGATGGGAATAGGCACCCCAGGGGGAAACAGTCTGCAGGGGAAGGAGTTGCCTTTGGAGGCTTTCTTAACTTTCATTCCGATCCTCCTGCCCCTGTCCTCCTCTAGCTCCTGTTCCAACTGTCTCCCTCCCCACAGTGCCTCTGTCCCCTCAGATTGGCCTTCCCCTGCATCCCCTATCTCATTGCCCTCCACCCCTGGACACCCTATCCTCTCAGCCTCCCCTTCCCTGTTCCCTCTCGGAATCCCATACAACCTCTGTCCCCACGTGCTGTACCACTGGTCTGTTTCCACTCCTTCTGTTCCTCCAAGGAACATTTTGCAGGCTGCTCTCTAGTTTCAGGGGGTTTTTTAGTCTTTCTCCAGCTGGATAAGTCATGTACGCACAGAAACAAGCTCAGCTAACACATTGCGATGCGCACGGTAAAGGCTATTATAACTGTGTGTACATTAGTACTTCACGAATAGTCTCTCTCTGTGAATATCATCTCCACCACATGGGAAGTGGGACCTGACTTCATTTGCTTTGATACAGGAAGTGGAGCTTGATTCAAAAAACAAACAAAAAACAATCTAAGAACTGCTGCTCTACACCACAACTTTTTTCCCTGCTGAATCTGGCCCTGTAGCTTTAGCACTGTGTGTAGGAACCCTGAGGTCTGAAGTCAAGAACTGGGTGAACTGAGAGTGCTTTAGCACTGTGCACTCCAAACAAATTTCATGGGGAAGAGAGACCCTGATTGTCGTAATGCCTGGATGCTTTCTGAGAACAACAGAATACCAGGTACATTAATGTATCTTTTCCCCCTCACAGTGATAATGTGGCAGTCACATGGATTCTTCTGTTCCAAAGATTTCTAAGCCAAAACTCATCCATTTGCATCTAATTCAGCATTCATTCTTGGTTAGACTTGGCATCACCAGGTTCCCTTATCACTTTGTTCATTGGTGTTGCAAGAATAATATTGTGCAAGCACATATTTGCTTTGTTTTGGAACGGGCTGTACTCTGAGCCTGAGTCCACAGTTGGAGCAATAGGGTTTGTCTGCATGACATGGCAAAGCAGACCAGGGGGGTGAGATTATATAGAGCGCGCTAACGTGCTGCACTCTACCTAAGATGCCAGGGAACAACTCCGGAGTCACCAAAGGAACATTCATCTCTGAGAACCTCATCCGCTTGTTTTAACTCTGCAAGCTCTTCTTCCTTTCCTGATTCTCACCCCCTGGGCACGCTGCTGTCCTCTCGAAAGGATCTGATGCTCCTAGACCTGCTCATGTGATCCACCATGACAAACCAGGCAAGATCCTAGAAAGCCTTCACAATTAACTGTAGCAACAAAACACCATTCAGATGGCTGAACTGCCTATTCTCCTCCCAGATAGTCTTCAGATGTTGCTGTGAATCACATGAGCACAAGTAGCAAGCATAGGGAGGCCAGGTGGCCTCCTGAACAGGACATGGAGACCTTGGTTCTAACACTGACCTGCCGCATGACTTTGTGCAAATCACTGTGGCATTTTTTCCTCACCCTTATTTTTTTCCTGCCTTGTCTATTTAGGTCATAAGCTCCTCTAGGCAGGGACCGTCTCTTACTCCGTGTCTGTACAGTGCCAAGCATAACAGGGGCCCTGATGTTGTTTGGAGTGTCTAGGAGCTACTGTGAATCGAAGTTCTTTTATTTGGAAGCCAGCTCAGGTCAGCCTTAACAATGCTCAATAGAGCACCATGGCAATGTCCAGACTAGAATAAGACATCCCAATCACATAGTTCCTCCACTCACCAAGCCAAAGGACCTCAGCGGGACCTCAAGATCCATACTTGTCAGGGATACGACTAGCACATGGGCTGTCACGCCTAATGGTTGGAGCCATGGGGACGGCCAGGCCTGGGGAGGTTAGAGAGGAGCCAAGCTGGAGTCCAGAATCAGGGCAATGAGACACCCAGGAGAGCAGAGTCAAGGTGGACGTGGAATAGGTTGTGCTGCTGGCCAGCTCTGGCAGCGACTGGGTCAAGTAGCAAGCTAGCTCCATCCCTCCACCAGTCAGGAAATGCAACCACTCAGGAAGCCCCTGCCAACACCGGCTGTGTCCAGTGTGTTGCTAGGAGACTGACGCTGCGGCCACTGGCTGCCTGGCAGGACTATATGCCCCAAGTCAATCCCGTTCAAGCCAGGGGACGAAAGATCTGCCCTACCTGTTTCTTTGTGTTTCCATTCTCGCACGGCAGCCTCTGGATTGGCCGGGCTCAGCTCTGCAGTCTGCTGTGGTAAAGTTAGTTCTCGGGTTATCGCACATCTGGCCCCTCTTGTTCTGCAACTCCTGTCTCTAAAATCCAGAAGAAAGAAGACTGCTTTAAGGGAGTATCCATTGCCTTGAAGATGGGTGCGAAGGAACCCTGTTGTCTGCTGATGCACTGGGCATGGATGACTGACAGGCTAACCTGATTTACAGGTTCAGATCTGAAAGGACTGACAAGTTCGCCCCACTATATAACAACAAACAGTTCCCAGGGCAGCTCTGGTTGTGCTGTGGCGCAAAGAATCCTGGGATACGCCCCCAGCAATCATAGCACCATGCCTGTGCACCAGGTGTGCCAGTGTGGATTCGGGGGGAGAGGCATTTGGTGCATATACGACCCTGCAGGGTGGACTGTTGGGGTGGGCTTTCTTGGCTTCCGTTCTCATGCCTGGGAGCCAGGATGTGGGCGCACCCAGCAGTGTAGACACAGTGGGTATGTCTACACTGTAATAAAACACCCACGGCTGGCCCATGTCAGCCTAGCAGGGTGCAGGCTGCATGGCTATAAAATTGCAGTGCAGACATCCAGGCGTAGGCTGGAGCCTGGGCTCTAGGGCCCTCTCCCTCGTGATTCACAAACCAGGGGAAGATAGGTGGAGGAATGCCTACCTCACGTATTTCGTCTTGATCTTGTAGGCGTGCTCAGGGGTCCAGACAAAACAGGTGATGGCAGATGAGGCCTCCTTCAGTCCAGTGGACAGGGTACTTACCTAGGATGTGGGAGAACTGTGGTTCAAGTCCCACCTCTCAGAGGTGTGGCATGGGAGGTGTCATAAATGTAAAGGGAAGGGTAAACCCCTTTGAAATCCCTCCTGGCCAGGAGAAAGCTCCTCTCACCTGTAAAGGGTTAAGAAGCTAAAGGTAACCTCGCTGGCACCTGACCAAAATGACCAATGAGGAGACAAGATACTTTCAAAAGCTGGGAGGAGGGAGAGAAACAAAGGGTCTGTGTGTCTGTCTATAGTCTGTCTTTTGTCGGGGATAGACCAGGAATGGAGTCTTAGAACTTTTAGTAAGTAATCTAGCTAGGTATGTGTTAGATTATGATTTCTTTAAATGGCTGAGAAAAGAATTGTGCTGAATAGAATAACTATTTCTGTCTGTGTATCTTTTTTGTAACTTAAGGTTTTGCCTAGAGGGGTTCTCTATGTTTTTGAATCTAATTACCCTGTAAGATATCTACCATCCTGATTTTACAGGGGGGATTTCTTCATTTCTATTTACTTTTATTTTTATTAAAAGTCTTCTTGTAAGAAACTGAATGCTTTTTCATTGTTCTCAGATACAAGGGTTTGGGTCTGTGGTCACCTATGCAAATTGGTGAGGCTTTTTATCCAACATTTCCCAGGAAAGGGGGGGTGCAAGTGTTGGGAGGATTGTTCATTGTTCTTAAGATCCAAGGGTCTGGGTCTGTAGTCACCAAGGCAAATTGGTGAGGCTTTTTACCAAACCTTGTCCAGGAAGTGGGGTGCAAGGTTTTGGGAAGTATTTTGGGGGGAAGGACGCGTCCAAACAGCTCTTCCCCAGTAACCAGTATTAGTTTGGTGGTGGTAGCGGCCAGTCCAAGGACAACGGGTGGAATATTTTGTACCTTGGGGAAGTTTTAATCTAAGCTGGTAAAGATAAGCTTAGGAGGTTTTTCATGGAGGTCCCCACATCTGTACCCTAGAGTTCAGAGTGGGGGAGGAACCTTGACAGGAGGCATGTGCCCCTCCCTCCCCCTGCCCCAGATTTGCTGCTTGGCTTGTACTGAGCATGCTAAGCAACACTGCTGAAGCTGGTTGCCCTTATTCTGCCCACCCCTGTATCATCAGGCAAGGGTCTCTGCTTGTTGCAGAGAAGGCATTGGAAGAGGGCTCTTCCCCAGGTTGGTTGAGTGCCCTGGGCTATATGGAGTTTTTCTCCCTCATTTTCTGGCTTCTTTAATGATTCAATTAAAGTGGAACATGTTCAACAAGAGAGATTGAGAAGCACCCAGCTCAGAATATCCCAAAGCTTGGCCTCTCTGGCAGGCACTAGGTCCCTCCACAAATCCTCTCTCCTCATCAGGCAGAGGGGAGACTTGAACCAGGCTCTCCCACATCCCAGTTGAGTGGAATTGAGCAGGTGCCTAACTCCATCTTGCAAGAAATGACCTAGATGCCTGATTCCAGGAGACGGGTTCCCCTTTGTGACTCACAAGCAGAGACAGGAGCCTCCCTGCAGCCTGGACATAGTTGCCTATCTCTGAGAGAGGGGCAGGGCTTAGGACATACCCCTCTGGTTGGCATCACCCATTGGCTAGCTTAGGCAACTCCCGGCCTAGCATGCTGGCTTTTGTGGCTCCTGGTCCTAGGCGCCTAGCTCATTCATTGTATAGGGAGCTGGGCACCTCACTCGGGCTTTGTGGATCATGTGGTTCCAGTGATTTTCTAGGTACCTAGAAGTTAGGCGTTGCAATGTTCAAGTCCTCTTATGTATCTGGGCCTTAGGATCTGGGGGGAGATTTTCTAAGAGACATGTAATGCCCATTAGCTTTTAATGGGTGTCTCTGAAAATCTTCTCCAAAGTCTCGCCAGAAGTCAGACTCCTTAGTCTGAGGTGCTCTTGAAAATGTTTTGCCCTATTTACAAAACAACCCATTTGGGATTTTCTGTATGGCCACGAGCAACTATTAACGTATTTTGAAACCTCAGAGGGGAAGAAAAAACAACCCTTGAGAAACAAAGCTTGAATTATGCATTCAGTTTATTGGAGATACAGCAGAGAGTTTAGAGTGCTCGATAATAAGCAAAGGACAGTCAACGGTGTTCCAACTGTATATACAGAAAAAGCACAAGACCTTTCCATCCAATGTACACTCAGGAATAATAACACAGACATTTAACAGTAGATGAATCACGGACAACGCTTATCGCTGGTGTAATTACAATGAGTTTTAGCAAATGTCACTGTGTGGATGCAGCAAATGTAATGGCAGCGATTATGCAACCTGATCAAAACCAGCTAACCCTCACCCAAAAAATAAAATAAAAATCAATCTGATTCCTGGTGTCATAAGAGAAGCCAAGTGATATCTGCAGTCTGGTCTTGAACGGTTAATGCACTGCTTCCCTGTCTGAAATGCTTCACCATGGGATGAGGAAAATTCTGGGTCCTAATGCTATGTGATCCCGAGTGCAGCTAATGCAAGAAAATCCAGAGTGAGAAGGGCAAAATTATCAGGCAAAAGAGACTGGTTTAATAGCCAAGATAATGCCTATAGACAGCCACAGACTCACTGAACCAAAAAGATAGTATAAACCACTAGGATTAACACTGCGTAAAGCTTCTCTAAAAGGGGCATTCAGAAGAACGTGGTTTCGGATCATACGAATTGCATTGGACACAGGCTTTTCTTTACTGTATGGTTATTGTCAATGACAGATTTTGTGATTCATGTGGCTGTCAGAAGGCAGGAAATATTTTTCATTCCAGCAAAGGAGACTTTTGCGTTTGGACTTTTATCGGATGATCCTTCTGCTTGAAGAGCTGATGGATACCATGCGCGTACCTGAGCTGTATGCACCTCCACTTCCACTGCTGCCTACACCTCCAGAGCTATAAACTCCACCACCAGAGCTGCCTACACCTCCAGAGCTATAAACTCCACCACCAGAGCTGCCTACACCTCCAGAGCTATAAACTCCACCTCCAGAGCTGCCTACACCTCCAGAGCTATAAACTCCACCACCAGAGCTGCCTACACCTCCAGAGCTATAAACTCCACCACTAGAGCTGCCTACACCTCCAGAGCTGCCTACACCTCCAGAGCTGCCTACACCTCCAGAGCTATAAACTCCACCACTAGAGCTGCCTACACCTCCAGAGCTGCCTACACCTCCAGAGCTATAAACTCCACCACTAGAGCTGCCTACACCTCCAGAGCTGCCTACACCTCCAGAGCTATAAACTCCACCACTAGAGCTGCCTACACCTCCAGAGCTGCCTACACCTCCAGAGCTATAAACTCCACCACTAGAGCTGCCTACACCTCCAGAGCTGCCTACACCTCCAGAGCTATAAACTCCACCACTAGAGCTGCCTACACCTCCAGAGCTGCCTACACCTCCACTGCTATAAACTCCACCACTGGAGCTGCCTACACCTCCAGAGCTGCCTACACCTCCAGAGCTGCCTACACCTCCAGAGCTATAATGTTCCCCTGAAGAATGAACTCCACTTGAACTTCCAGAGCTCCCTACTACATCTCCAGAGCTGCAAACTCCAGCCACAGAACTGACGCCACCCGAGGAGTGGTACCCCACATCACCTCCAGCGCTTGCACTCCCGGAGCTCCTCACTCCACCCATGTGACTGCCAACACTCCCGGAACTTGCAAAGCCAGAGCTGAGCACACGTCGGTAGCTGTATCCCCCACTTCCAGAGCTGAATCCTCCCAAGCCATACCCAATTCCACTACTACCTATTCCTCCAGAACTATATCCCCTTCCTGAAGAGCTGACGGCACTCCTGGTGCCATAGCCCCCTCCCATCCTGGAGATGGCTTCTGCACTTCTGGAGCTGAATCCATCACTGGAGGAAAATATTCCAATTCCAGAGTTGAATCCTCCCTTTAGAGGTCCGCAAACACTTCCAAATCCGGCTCGGCAATCCCCGATGGTATGGCCACCACTGACCACAGCTGGGAGAAAACGAGATGTTCAGTCACTTAAACAGCAGCTTTGAAGCTCTTAAAGAAATCTGACAAAAACAAGGTGAATCCTCAGTTTACTTACCAACATTTGTGGGGTGCCCTGTACATATCCTGTGAAGGAAAGAAAAACAATATAGGTAAATGACTTCATATGCATTTAGAAACCTGTAGGCAATGAGACCTCAGGTAAATTTTCAAGCATACCTGGATAATTAGGGGTCTTAAGTCCTATTTTCAAACGTGACCTAGACTGGGATTTTCCAAGGACCTCCAGGTATTTAGGCACCAAAATCCCATTGAAATTCAGTGGGAATTGGGTGCCTCAAGTCTTTTAAGCTGCTTTGAAAATTCCAGCCTTAGGAGCCTAAAGGTCATTGAAAATCAACGGGGCTTAGACTCTTAAGTGCCTACCTCACTTTTGAAAATGGGGCTTAAGCTCCTAAATAGCTTAGATTGAAAATGTTACCCCTACTACCTTTAAAGAACTCATCTCCTTCTCTTAGACAAACTCGTTCTCCATAAATCAGATAGTGTCCTGAATCCAGATGTTGCAATATTTTTCATTCTCTTTCTTACTTATTATATTAACTTTGTTCCCGTCAAACGCTACTGGGGCTATTTGAAATGTTACCACGCTACAACACATATGATGCACTTACCTGGTTTCTTCTCCTTCCAGCAATGTTCTGTAGGTAGCTATCTCAATATCCAAGGCCAGCTTGACATTGAGCAGCTCGTGGTAGTCCCGCAGCATGCATGCCAATTTGTCCTTGGCCTGCTGCAAGGCGTTCTGCAAATCAATGTGCTTCTCCCTGGCGTCTTTGAGGGCACAGTCGCCTCGCTGCTCAGCGTCAGCAATGGCCGTCTGCAGACAGGCAATCTGTGAAGGGGTGCGAGGGGGGAAACCAAAGGGTCATTGTGCAGCTCTTCATCAGAGTTAAGACCATACTGCAAACCTCTTTTCCAAATACCCATTCGAATATTGAAATAGATCCATTTCACATGGGCTTCTCCCACCTGTCTTTTTTCGTCTGCAGCCTACTCTTGCGAGATCAAGTGTTACTAGCAATGAACGCCAACGTTAAGCTTGCAAACTTGAGCATTCATGCAATGCCGGCTTTCAGGTCACAGTCTGTGAGCATTAGCACCAGAAACCTGAAGATGCTAAGCACGCTGCCTGAAACAATGGTGTCCCGATTCCCAGTTAGGCCCCTCAGGGCACCTCTGAGATACCAGTAATAAACAACACCAAGCATCTTGTATGACCTATCACAAGTAAATGGTAAGTAAGTAAAGTAAAGTAAAGCTCAGGTTTCAAATAGCTAACAGAGCAGGTGAGTATATACCAGTCATATTGCTATTGGATTTTAGATCAGGGTCCATGGGTTAGATCCTCTGCTCGTATCAAGGGGTTTAACTCCACTCAAGTCAGTGGAGCTATGCTGAACTCTGCCAGCTGATTCCTGACCCCATATAGACTTGCCAAAGTTGAAATTCACTCCTGTGCAGAGAGTCAACCGTAAGGGATTATTCTGAATTGACACTTAACCGGCCCATAGATCTTGTGCTGTTCCGCCGAACAGCTGTGAATTTTACACCGAGACAAGAGCAATCAAAACAGGAGAAAGCAAACAAACAAACAAACAAATCTGTCCTACCTCTTTCTTCACTTTATCAGTCTCGCCCTGCAGTGTGTGGACCAGCCGTTTCAGCTCTGCTATTTCACCCTGGATATTTTTCAGGTCATCACAGAATCTGCCTCTGTTGGTGCTCAGCTCCTCAAGCTAGTATTCAGAAATAAGGTAATTGCTATAAATTAAATATCATCCATTCCAAGATAGGCGGCAGCTGCTTTGATTCTCCTAGAAACCTCTGCTCATGGGAAAATACACAGCTGTGATATCAGTATAAACAAGGCAAGGCGTCATCTGGAATTCATAGATGGGCCCAAAGTTAAGTAACTTAGATTGTACACTCTTCGAGACCAGGACTGTCTTTTTGTTTTCGTATAATGGAGTCGATCCATAACTGAGAATTAATAATAATAATAAATAATAATAATAATAATAATAATTAATGAAATATCAAGGTTGGGAAAGAGCATCCCAATTATCGATCATTGCTTTGTACTAAAATGATAGATGTTGTGGATTATTTTTCATAAATATTCCACTTCTAGCTATTGAGTAGATTGTAGAGGTGGATGTTCCATGTGAATCACATCTTCAGAAGATGTGTCACTGCAACTGAGCAGAGTGAAGATGTTTTTTTCAGTATGTATCATACGTTCAGGAGAAAGAAATTATCCCATGCTCATGATTTTCTGGAAGTATTAGAGTGACAAAATTACGGCTTCATCTCCATACACTATAGCTTTGTGATTACTCACTCTAGTTTGGTAGAACGTCTCAGCTTCTCCTTTGCTCTTTTGAGCAATCTCCTCATAACAGCATTTAACACTCTGGATAATGCCACTGAGGTCCAGATCTCGGCTGTTGTCCATTTCCAAAACAACAGCGGTATCGCAGAGTTGGCCATCTAGCTGAGCTCGCTCCTGCAAGTTGAATACAGTCTCAGTCAGGTATTGACGTTAGAGCCCCTTCACATACAGATCCCCTCATCCACACTTCCACATGTTCTGTCAAGAAGCATGCCACTCATTGATTTGGCTAAATTCTGACCCTGTAAGTAAAGCCTCAAAGAAGAAAGTTTTCCCTTAACCCAGAAGTAAGGCTTGAGTTACCCCGGTAGCTGGTCTGTTTCCAGCTACTGCAGGGTTTGAGGACTAGCGGATGGAACCTATCTGCCACAGTGTGACTTTCTGATGAAGGATGGAGAAATCCCAATGTAGAGTTTTACCAAACAATATTGCTACTATAAAGTACCCTTTATTTTGCCATTCTTTAGACTTTGAGCTTTGTAAGGCAGTAGCATTGGGCCTGAAACACTGCTATGTTCACCTCGTATCATCGTTTAGTTAAAGTAAATGGAAACTGGGTGTAAAATGCTACCCTCATGATTCAAACTCACTAGGCACAAGGGTAAACGAAGACACAATGTCCAAGGCCGGGGCTGATTGAACATTTTCAGACAAAACTTTTTTCTGACTGAAAATTGGGTTTCTGGCTAAACAAACTTTTTTTAGCAGAGAGTAGCTGTTTCCCATATATATATCTGTTGGAACACTGAAAATCTGAATGTTTTCAGAAGTTTTCCTCCAAACCTTTTTCAATTTGACTGTTTTTGGCTGAGCGTTGTCTGGTTTCCGCTGTTTCAATGAAAAGTCAAAATTTTCCATGCAAAAATAAACCCAATTTCCCAACCAGATGTTGGCAAGGCCGTCTGTCCTGTTGTCTCCAGGCTTGTCTGAAAGCATGTGGCATTTTTTTAAACATAATCATTCTTATTTATAAAGAAATATCTTGTATATAAAGTGATTTATAATGTTTTCTAGGAGTGGCCACAGGGTGAGAAATTTTATAAAGACAATTATTTTGCCTGCATTAGGCTTCATCGTAACAACTCCTTAATGCAGTTTCAGAAAAGTCATTGACGGCTATTGGTCCCAACGCAACATTAAAGTGGCGAGAATGGGCAGAGTACCTACCTCAACGAAGATGCATTTCAGGAACTCAAAGTGTTGCCTCAGCTGCAGCAACTTGGACTCCAGCTCCTCCTTGGTCATGAAGACAGAGTCCACATCCTGAAAAGCAGCCCCAGGCAATCAGAAAGGGTGCTGACCCAAACACTGAGACACATAGCAACAGCAGCAACGCCCACAGTCGTCTTCGGGTCAGGCTTTTGGAGCAGGATGTCTCAGAGGTGAGGCTTCCTCACGATCCTCTGACGTCTTATGGGGGAAAACTAAATATCTTCCAAATCCATGGAAAGATGATGGTATTTTTTTTTTTTTTTTACAAACAGTATTGGCCTGGTCGCACGAAGGCGACTTTACACCAAGGTGGCCATATAAAGGGACCTTATATCGAGTGTAAATGTAATTCATTGCCATATTATGGCCCTTTTACACTTTGGTGTAGATAAGAACTACAGGCTCTCTTCTTCCTTGCGTCTGAGCCCCTCAAGGAATGCCACCAGGGGATTATTATGGCACCTGCTTCGGTGACACCCAAGTCCCTGCATCACTTAGGGGAGCCCATTGACTGCTCAGGCATCCACCATGGTCAGAGAATCTATCTGGGTGAGTTCTGCTCTACCATCCCCACTCTTCTTTCCCCAGTCATGCCAGGACGTGGGGAGGGACAAGCTGACATAGAAGCTGCCAGCTCTGAATTTATGGCAGCAAAGAACTTCCCTCCTCAAGAGGAATCTCTGTTGGACCTTTAAGGCCAGAGTCCAGCTCTATCCCATGGTTTATACAAATGTAGGGCTGGAAAGGTCCCCAAAGGTCATCTAGTAGTTCATCCCTCTGCACTGAGACAGGGCAAAGTATACCTACACGGGATTTAATAAAACCCAGTGCTGATTAGCGATTGTCCAAAACGAACACTGAAAATATGATTTGTCACCTGCTGATTCCAAAGTGGAAGCAAGCAAGAAAAATGGATAGTTTTCCCTTGATGCTTAAAATATACTTCCTTTTTTACCCCAGCGCCAATTGTTCTCCATCAAATGGAGGTGTGAGGAGAACTTTAGGGCAAGGTTTGCCCATTCATTTCCCCAAGTATAATGATTTAAAAAAACTTGCCATTCAGTATGTTATTAAACCCTGTTGTAGATCAGTGACTCAGTGGATTTAAATTGGCATAATTCCATTGAAATACAACCATTTCCACTGGTTGAGGATTTGGTCTAGCACTGAATTTAAAGTGAAACGCCCAAAACAGCTAATTTGGTCTTGTTTCATGCTTTCGTAGCCTGACTTACCTTCTTGAGCACCACAAACTCATTCTCTGCATGTGTGCGTTTGTTGATTTCCTCTTCATATCTATGAGAAGAAAGGAGAGCCAAAGTTTGTCTCTGCCGCCTAAGCCACTAGCAAAGACAGGAAGTGTGATACAAACAAAGCCCTTCCCTGTTAATTTTGTACCCCACTCATTTTTTTATATGATTGTTTCTGACAAAAATACTGATCCGGCCTCAATGTGTTCCTACAGTTTCCCAATAGTCTAACTTCAATAATTTCAGTGGAGTTACACTGATGTCAAACCAGAGTAACACAGATGTGAATCAGGCCCAACATTTACAAATGGAAAGCTGTATAAATCTGTGAGGTGGTCTTCCACATTGTCATGCATTTGAACTTCTCTTTGTCTTCCTACTTCCATGTAAGTTTATACTGGGAGGCCCATTTGTGCTTTAGTTTGAGCACTTATGTTAGATTTCCAAAGGCCTCATCTCCTTAATCCTTTTTGAAAATCCCAGCCTGAAACAAGACCTGAATCAACCCCTGGCTGGGATGATTTAGTTGGGGTTGGTCCTGCTTTGAGCAGGGGGTTGGACTAGATGACCTCCTGAGGTCCCTTCCAACCCTGAGATTCTATGATTCTAAGATATAAATCACATGCAGGGTTTGCGCTGGCCCTCTGCACAGGCGTGATTTTCACCCATAGCAACAAAGAAGTAAAGACTAAAAGAACCATCACTAAACAAGTTAAAGAACTCGGTGTTCCTTGTTAGTGTCTCAACAGTGAGCAGCTAGAACTGAGACACCTAGATGGTAAGATCTTTGGGGCAGCAATCATCTTTTTAAGAACATAAAAACATAAGGACAGCCATACTGGGTCAGACCAAAGATCCATCTAGCCCAGTATCCTGTCTTCCGATAGTGGCCAGTGCCAGGTGCTTCAGAGAGAATGAACAGAACAGGTAATCATGAAGTGATCCATCCCCTGTTGCCCATTCCCAGCTTCTGTATTTGAACAGAATAGGATATCGATCTGTGACCGGGGCTCCTAGGCAGCTCTAGCACAATAATAATAATACCTGCAACCCAGGTACCTGCTGGGAGGTAGGATGAATGATGTGACACTAAGGAGGAAGGTATACCGAGGAAATGACACAGGCTGAAGTTTTTGTGGGGTTGGCAGCAGCAGTGAAAGTTCAAGTCAAAAATGGCTTTAAGATCTGGTAAAGGATCTGAAGATGAGGTGGAAATAGATGAGCTTGTAGCTCTGATATTGGAGAATAGCTGATGAATGCAGAAACATAACAGGAAAGGAGGACTTGGGATTTAGATTTTCTTGACCGAAATATGGGTGAGTAGCTCTCCCACTTCCTTTCCAGCATGCACTATGGTTCTTTAGCCCTAGTATACAGCTTTTGTCCATTTCACCATCTCACTTACTTGCTTTTGTACTCATGGACCAAGTCCTGGGCGGCCTTTTCTTCATCTTCCAGTCTCACCCTGTCATGTAACAAACATTCCAGCTGTTTCTTCAGTTGGCAGATGTAATTCTCGAAAATAGGTGCAAGGTCTCTCCTTGCTGGTACAGCATGCTGCTGCAAGAGATCCCATTTGGTTGCCAGCACCTTGTTCTGCTGCTCAAGGCAGCGGACCTGAAAGCCAAATATGCAATATTGTTTTAACTCTTCTAAAGCCTCCATCAAAGACTTTATTTTTCTTCTTCATCATTAGAACTGTAGGAGTTTGGCAACCTTCTTTCACTTAGAAATCTCGATGGGTGGATTATGACGATGCAGCAATGAAAGACATTAAACCTTATTAACTGAGGTCAGTTCTACACTTAAAGCACTGCATCGGCACAGCTGCACCACTGTAGCACTTAAGTGAAGACATTGTTATGCTGACAGAAGACTTTCTCCTCTCAGCGTAGTTAATCCACCTCCACAAGAGGTGATAGCTATGTCAACGGGAGAAGCTCTCCCGCCAACATACTGAACAACGTACCTATACCAGTATAGCCCTGTAGTGTAGACCTGGCCTGAGAGAGGAAGTGATTTTTATGGGTAACGCCTCTTTAAATAAAGCCCTGGAGAGAAAAGTTGTCCTTGTAAAGCAGGCAACAACTCGGCCTTTTCATAGATTTATGGATTTGCAAGCCAAAGTGGACCATTAGAACATCGAATCTGACCTCCTGTAAAACACAGGCCATAGCCTTTCACCCACTTACCCCTAGATTGAGCTCAATACTTGTGTCTGACGAAGGTATATCTTCCCAAAAGGCATCCAGTCTTGATTTAAAGACATTTAGAGTTGAAGAATTCACCACTTCCTGTGATAATTTGCTCCAATGGCTAATCGCCCTCACTGTTAAAAATTGGTACCTGATTTCTAATTTGAATTTGTCTGGTGGCAGCTTCCAGCCATCGGTTCTAGTTCTGCCTTTCTCTGCTAGATTATTTTCTCCTTGTGAAGATTCTCATAAACCGTGGTTTAGTCACCTCTTGATTTTCAATGGTAGGAACAAAGAAGCTCCTCTTATGCTTTACTGAATCATTCAAAGAGTGCTCCCAAAAACACCCCAGGGAAAAGAAGACTTGACATTGCTGAGGTTCATCGTGGAAAAGAAAAGAAGCTGAAAAACACAACAACCTAGGCCTTCTTCACCATATGTCACAAAGCAGCAAAAGAGCAGAAATCCTAGTTTGCTGTCACTGTTGTTCCTTTTCAGGTTACTTTAATGCAGCTGATTGCATCCTTAACAATAATAATGAATATTAAATTTGGAATGCATCCAACCTCAAAATAACTACACTAAATCAACGTTACCAAGGTGAGATTCACAGACGTTGAAAAAGAACTACTTTGTTTTCGTTAGACCCCTGTGTATTTCCACATAGTATAGCACATATGCTACTTAAGAGCATAACGTTCCTCCTCTGTCTGCGAGGGCTACTGGTACATACCTAGTTACAAACCATTAAAACACTGTGCTTTGATAGAAATGGTCATCGGTCCTATTCTATTTTAGGATTTTATACTGCTAACCGTCACCATCATGTCTGAGTGGCATTCGATATATCAATTTTTTACTATTGATTCTTTCTCAGCAGAGAACCATTAAGAGATGCTGTGGCTTCCTGGATAGTCTTCTGTCTAGGAAGGAAAGGAATATCAACTAAATTAACCTATCAGATTAATATCAACTTTTCCTACACCTTATGGGCCACCAGAAGCCAAGCTAAATGTACCAAAGATGAACACCTCTGACCTCTGGGAAAGCTTGGACTTCCAAGAAGCTCTGTCTTATCTCCATTTTTTAGAACCAAGAAAAAGAAAGGTGCTTTATACTCTCACCTTGTCAATGAAGCAGGCGAACTGGTCATTGAGACATTTTATCTGCTCCTTCTCATGTGCTCGTATTTTATGTTCTTCTGGGTCAACCCCTACAGAGAGAGGCTTCAACAGTTCCGGATGGATGCACACCCCATGGATACTGTCACTTCTACCTGCATGTCCGACGCCATAACGTATACCACTCCCGAATTGGTAGGGGGAGTAACCTCCAAAGCCAGAGGAACCTCTGTAGCCTCCGCTGCTGTAGCCTCCGCTGCCATAGCCTCCGCTGCTGTAGACTCCACTGCCGTAGCCTCCACTGCCATAGCCTACATAGCTACCATAACCTGCACCACTGCCAACACCAAAATGGCTGCCAAAGCCCGCACTGCTGCCATACCCTCCACCACCATATGCACCACAGTGTCCAAGACCATAGCCTCCACCATAGGAAATTCTTTGACTTCTACCCAGATCAAAGAGACTTGTGCTGCCAAAGCCACCGCTTTCACTTCTTCCGGCAGGCCAGGACATGGAGCCTGAGCTGGTTCTACCTCCGCTGAGGCCATAAACGGCAGAAGCCGAAGAGAAGCACCTTCTTCCACCAAGAGAACTGGACGAGAAACACATTCGATTCATGGTGGCTTGCTTGGAGTGAGAATGGAGCAGTATCAGCAAAGCAGTCAGGTGCAAGAGAAGAGCAGAGAGTGAAGGAAAGAGCTTTCCTTTGAATTGAGTTAAGGAACTTCACCTTATATATGTTTCAGGAGCTGCATGGGATGCATAAAATTAATTTATAGATTGTGGGTTTGGTTTGCCTGGCAGCAAGAAATGGCTTATAAAGAAGCTAAACAGAACAAACATTGTATTACACATGAAGTAAATGTGAAATTAAAATATATGCTTTGCTTGCAAGCTTCACTTGCAGGACTTATATTTTAATTAATTAATCTGCTTCCTTAAAGTCTAATTATAGTTTAGCCAAACAAGTCAAGGGACTCCTTGTGGCTTATTTACCTTTGAGTTTCACCATAGGTTTATTTTTTTAATGATATAAGAGAACAGGCTGCAGAATGTTCTTCTTGGTATTGTTTATTCTCACAGTTCCTAGGAGTCCCATTCATGGACCAAGACCCCACTGGGCTAGATGCTCTACAAATGCAGTGCCTACCATGACAGAGTTCTGGTCTATGTTACTGGTCCATTTTTCAGGATCTCTCAAACAGCTGGATTCTGCCGGTAGACACAGTACATCAGAATAAACGAATGGCTAGACTGGGTCAGCCCAAAGGTCCATCTAGCCCTGTATCCTGTCTTCCAACAGTGGCCAATGCCAGGTGCCCCAGAGGGAATGAACAGACCAGGTCCTCATCAAGTGATCCATCTCCTGCTGCCCATTCCCAGCTGCTGGCAAACAGTACAGTGATCAACTCATGAGAGAAGTAGCGCATCCTTCATGTCAAAGCAGAGTAGTGTGGGGTATTGAATGGATTGTTATAAGCTCTTGCTCTTACACCTCTATGGATGCAACGCAGGACACGTGAAAAAAATTTGGGGCATACCCAGCAAAGCGTGTATAGTCAAACTACATGCCAGGGTGGCAGTTGTCAGGGACAAATCGTGCCTTTTCAGTCTCAATATCTGTATGTAAATTGGCTGGTACACTCCTAGAATTCAAGCAAATAATTTCTGGAGAAACTCAATACACAAAATGGAATGAAAAATGTTAAACCTGTTGAAAAATTGTATCTGAAACGAATTTTTTTCCTTGACTCTGCATGCCACACCCCTTTGATATTAAATTATTGTAAATTTCTTTAATGAGAGGGTTTGTGTCATTCAATTAAAATCCTTAAAGGGACTTTGAATTTTCTGAACATTTCGATGGGTGTGTGTATAGGCAACCAAGACATGTTATTAAGGAAAAAACATGCACAGAAGGTTTGTACATCCTATCTAGATAATGTAATTATTTTTCCAGTCCTGTAGATCTTGCTATACAAACTTAATCAGCTGGATGAAATTAACTTCAAAAGTATTGAATGTAATTATAATCAAGGGAATTCCTAAGTAGCTGAAGCTCACGTCAGTAACTTGAAAGGGAAAAATTCAGAAACACCTTTGTTTTTTCTACTAGAGCTCTGGCACAATCTTTGCATAGGACTTTTGGGTGCTGACTATGAAAACAGATTGAGGGCAGTCGGTAGAAATGGTACCACCCTGGCTTTGAATCAAAAACAACATCTGGCCTTTATCTCTAACAAGCTCTGTATCATGCCATCAAACTAGACCTAAAGTGATCAAAAGACTCCCTTTAGAACATAATTCTCTGCATTCCGTGAGCCGGGGGTCTCTACTCCCATAATTCATACCTAGGCTTGGCAGAATCAGTTTTTTTTAAAAAAAAATTCAACAGATAATATTGATGGCTATTTTTAAGCTTTTTTACATTTTTATCAATTTAAATTTTCACAGTTGCATGCACTTAAGGATTTTAAGCATGTTTTTCTAGTTTTATCAATGTACACGTTCAGAGTTGTGGGACATGAAGAGGAGGTCAGACAATGGTGGGCTCAGACAATTATTGAATGACCGTATCCACTGAGATTCAAAACGTTAAAGCTTTATAAGCATGAAAACACAAACTGTCCCCATCGCCTGTCAAATGATACCAAGTAAACATCCTCCCATCAAACTCCAATAAGTTCTCCCATATCATTGTTGCTTACTTCACCTATCTCTATATTTTCATTATTATTGATGGAAATATTTTTGTCAGTTTGTGTGTGTGTGCAGGGAAATCAATGTTTATTGACATTCACCAATAAAAATTGAATCATTCCAAGCCTACTTATACCGTATCTTTCTACACGTGTCACACTCACGCCGTTTTTCACTCTGAGCTGCAAGTTCCCAGTCTATGGTTCAACATTTGATTCCTTCCTCATGAGCCTCTGATTTTAGATTGCTCTGCTGGTACATTAGAGGAAACATATGAAGGCAGTGCTTCTGGGTTTTAACTGCTTTCTCATAAAAGTCAGCTTGAAGTCATGTGATCAAAGCCCTGAGTACTGTGTGAAATATTTGCTGCTTTGAAGTTTATGCAAGGTCAGTTTTTGAAGGATGCATTATAAGAGTGTTTTACATCTATTTATTTATTCTCATACGCTCGGAACTAGTAAAATTCTGAAGCCACATCTTTCTTTAATGTACTTTCTCATTTGCCTCCATGTGTTCTGTATCCTTGCTGACTGGCATCTTTGAAGAACTACAGCACATGTATGATTTTTTTCCCCTCACCATTGGTGCGATGTGAATACCAGGCTGTAAGACTGGTCTTGATTCAGCAAAGCTTTTAAGCATTTGCTTAAGTCCATCCTTATTCAGCAAAACATGTAAGTACAGGCTAAACTTAAAGCATGCGCTTGACTCACATTGAGTTCCATAGGAGTTAAGCATGAGCTGAAGTCGTCTGCTGAATAGGGATGGACTCAAGAACTTGCTTAAAGTCAGGCAAATGTTTTAAGTGCTTTGCTGAATTGGAGCCTAAACACTTTAGATAAGCTATTACCAGCAGGAAAGTGGGGTGTGGGGGAAAAGAAAACCTTTTGTAGTGGTAAAAAAAAACATTTTTTCATGGTTTGTGTGTATAAAAAGATCTTCTGTACTTTCCACAGTATGCATCCAATGAAGTGAGCTGTAGCTCACGAAAGCTTATGCTCAAATAAATTGGTTAGTCTCTAAGGTGCCACAAGTACTTCTTTTCTTTTTGCGAATACAGACTGACATGGCTGTTACTCTGAAACCAGCCTAAACACTGTTCCCACTGAGGGCTAATCTACACTATAAGCATTACATCAGCACAGCTGCACCCTGTAGCATGTCTGGTGAAGACACTCCATGCTGAGGAGGGAAAACTCTCCCGTCAGCCGTATAACTATTCCTCCATGAGTATTTCAGGCTACGTCCACACCGGCACTTAAGTTGGTGTAACTTACATCGCTCAGGGGTGTGGATTATTCACACCCCTGGGTGACATAAGTTACCCCAAAATAAGTGGTAGTTTAGACTTTGGCCTGAGACACTAGAGTGTTCCTATGGTCGTTTAGCTTCAAATTTTAAATCCAGATATTAAGATCCTTTTCAGTTGTGACGTTCTTCCCAAAAATATTACATCAGGGATATCCAGACTTCTTGATTAACATTATTGCTAGGTAGCAGTTCTGGTGCGACACTCCCTGCTTTGAGGCTTGGCAGAATCAGTGGTTCCTTTGGAAAGGGAACAGAAAGTTTCCATTAAGTTGTCTCACAAAGCCTCTCTGAAATCCAACCTTCGGTTCTCCCCACACCTACTTTGATGACAGGTTATTTGAAGGCCACTGCTTCAAAGATTGCTTTGCACTGAGCATCTCTGACTCAAATCCATCTCGTCTCCCTATTGCTGCCCCGTCAACTTGTCAATCTTCTCATTACAGAGATCTATCAAACAAACCCCTCTCAAAACAAAACCACACAATTATCCCCCAGGAGGGAGAGGATCAGAGAAAGAATGAACTACGTGTGACAGATGTTAGTCATGTTGACTAATGCACTACTGAAAAGCGGTATAAGAATTTACGCAGAATAAAATCTATCCCCTTATATGACTCTTAGGTCTTTTCAGGACACACTGACTATGGTAGACGCAGGAAGAGCTGACAACAAATTTTAGACAAATAGGTTATTCAACGAAAGATGCAGTTTTGGTTGACCTGAAACCATTCACAAATTTGACACAAATAGTTTCATCTAGTCTAAAACAGAGAGGGAGGAGGAGACGGTGGTGGTGCAGCTGCTACTACCCCTCCCCTTCCTTATTACCCTTACCCCACTAGTTAATACCCTTTAGTGGCATGTGAGAAACCCAGGTTCGAATCCTCACTCTGAAACAGACCTTCTCAAGTCACCAAAAATTTCAGATTCATGTCAAACGGAACGTATTATTTATTTCATTTCTTCAGAGCTGCCACCAAACTGCCAGATCAGTTATTCTCTCAACTCTGTATGGAGGTGCCAATCTCCTTGAGACAAGACAAAGTCTATTTGGAATTGGGATACTTAATAATCTCCAGATAGTCAACCATATGGCGTCATTTTCTCAAAAGCAATACAGAGAAGCACCCATCTTTAGTCCTCATTTACCTTTATATTTTGCCCAAGGTAAATATAGTTCATATTAGTGAGCAGAGGCATCACTTGCTATGGGACATGGGGAGGCAGTTGCCCCTCCAGATCTTGGTTTGTGGTCCTCCCCTCCTACTTTACAAACATAATGGCATAGAATGGTCTATATGCTGATACCACTTTGCCCCCCTTATCCTGAAATTTTTCTGAAATGGTTCCCCTGTTAAATAACTCACTCTTCAGTTCTCTGTCAGCGTGTTTTTTGTGCACAGGCATTTGAAATGTCTCTTGGCTCATTTGGTCAGGCCAGGGCCTACCTCCACTGCTTGCTTCATTTAGTATTTACCCAGTGACCACGTGGCATTTGCAGGCGAGTGCCAAGATAGGAGATGGACATACAAAAAGGAGCTAGGGCCGGATTTACACCTTATGCGTCCCTAGGCACAGCATCTTCAGCGCCCCTCCTGCCTATAGCCAGTTTTATAGAGGTACGGTGCCCCTAGCATGCCGGTGCCAACTGTGCCAAATTGGAAATCCAGCCCTGAGGGTAGCAATGCAGGTTGCACTTAGAGATGGGCAAATCTCATGCAGTCTGAAATGTTAATCAACCACACAGTTAGGGCTGGGTAAGAATTTTCCATCAACACTGTTTTTCTGGGGAAATTTCAACTTTTCATCACAACATGCCCAAAACCTGACAATTTGGAAATGCTGCAGCAATGTCTCCTGGGATTTACGTAAGTATCTACATGTCTATAAGTATGTACATGGAGAACAAATAATTAATGACGGGCTCTTCAATTTAGTGGAGAAAGGTACGACATGATCCAATGGCTGCAAATTGAAGCTAGATACATTCAGGCTGGAAATAAGGTGTACATTTCTAACCATGAGAGTAATCAATCAGTCATTGCAACAATTTACCCATGATTGTGGTGGATTCTCCATCAATGACAGTTTTTAAATGAAGATTGGATGTTTTTCTACAAGATCTTCTCTATGAATTATTCTGGGAAGTTCTCTGTCCTGCACTCTACAGGAGGTCAGAAGAGATGATCACAATGGTCCTTTCTGGCCTTGAAATTTATGAGTCCATGAATCTACAGTTTGGCTGCCTCTTGCCCATATTCTCCTTCTATGGGGAAAGTTCCCTAGTTGGACTACCTCTCCCATAATGCATTGTATCCATAGATGCACAGCTGTAGCTCAATAAGAGGGCAGACCATGGTGTTTCATGGGACATGTAGTCCACCCATTGGGTTTCAGTGGCAGTTGGATACCTAACTTTTAGGTGCTTTTGAAAATCATACAGTACATACAAAGACAAGTCATGGTAGCTTTTCAGTCTGGGGAATAGATACGACGGACATAATCTTCTGAAAAATTTAGTTAAAAACAAAATCAGAGACAAAGCATGAATTAGACATGCAGTTTATTGGAGGCACAGCAGAAGTTTAGAGCTTTTAAAAATCAGCAAAATGATGTTACAATTGTATACACATAAAAAGTACATGAAATACAGCACACAGTGAGGGATAACAGAATAAGAATTCAGAGTAACAGCCGTGTTAGTCTGTATTCGCAAGTCTCTAAGGTGCCACAAGTACTCCTTTTCTTTTAACAGAATAAGGAGTTTCACTGCTAGGATGCCACATTAAGCGCTCTTTGGTACAAACAAAATGTGGCTTGACAATTGGGATATCTTTCTCTTATTTCCCCTTGTACGGTAAACAGATCATAGACAACTTTAGTAACTAGGGTCCAGATCCTCAAAAGTATTTAGGTGCCTAATTTCCATACAAATCAATGGGGATGAGGTGCCGATATACTTTTAAGGACAAGGACCCAGTGTCACATCAACAGAGAGACACTCTTCACAAACCCATCCCATCCCATCTCCAGCCTATAGCTTCACTTTCCAAAACACTTCAGAAAGGTGCTATCAAGAGACGTTTCCTGGTACAGTATAAAGAGATTGATCTATAAGCTTGCTAGGGTAAGAAAACCCAGAGACAACACATCATCCCTAGCAGGCCCACCGGAAGGTGGTTCAATACCACAGATGATGACTTTATAGAAAGCAACAGACTCAAGGCATGTCTATACTGCAATCACAGGTGTGATGGCAGCTCAGGTAGATTTACCCGCCCTAGCTTTAACCTACCTAGCATGGCTAAAAATAGCAGTGAAGTCTCAGCTGTACATGCCCATGTGGGATCCTGGGTATATGTATTCATGTTGAGGGCTGATTCTACCTCTGGGTCTGTAGCCCCCTCTTCTGGAGCTCCATTCTCCACTTCTGGAGTTAAAACCTCCAGGTGGAGACCAGTCTGCGCCTTCAGGGATGTAATGCCCTACAGAGCTGACAACACTTTTTGGGGCGGACTCCTAATTTCTGGAGTGGGTTCCCCCACTTAAGAAGCCGCATCTTCCATCTCCAGAGTTGTATCCTCTACTTGAAGAGCCATAACCACATCCATTTTTTATTGTACCACAATGCTCAACAGTGTAGCAGTTGGTGACCACAGCTGCGAGGAAACCCAAGCTCAATAACTTGAGCAGAAAGTGGAAACTCTCGCAGAATAAAGAAAACAATCCTAATTACAAATCCCCAGTTTACATAGCTACACTCACGGTGTTCCTTGAACATATCCTGTTGGGTGGGGTGGGGACAAAGAAACAAATTATCCCATAAACCGGCCATGTTACTAAGGAGCTGCATTAGATAAGACCTAATTTTTTTTAGAAATTCATCTAACTACGAGTTACAGAGTACATTCTACAGCTGGGGCTTTCAAAGGTGTCTGAGTGAATTAGGCACCCAACTTCCATTTGAACTTCTGTGGGAGTTGAGCATGAAAATCCCTTAGGTTCCTTTGAAAATCTGAGCATGCATAATCTTGGAGCAACACAGCTTCCTGCACTGGTATATGGCAATATTACTTGTTCTATTTCTTCTGATGATTACAGTAATTTTTATTCTCATTGACTACAAAGTGGGATCTTTGAAATGCTGAGTACTATACACAATACCTACAGGTATTATGCACCTGCCTCTTTTCTTCTCCTTCCCGCCATGTCTTGTATGTAGCAATCTCAATACCCAGGACCAACCTGACATGCAGCAGCTCGTGGTAATCCCGTAGCATGCCTGCCAGCCTGTCCTTGGAGTGAGGGGGGAATTTGATAGCAGCCTTCAACTACCTGAAGGGGGGTTCCAAAGAGGATGGAGGTAGGCTGTTCTCAGTGGTGGCAGAATAAGGAGCAATGGTCTCAAATTGCAGTGGGGGAGGTCTAGGTTGGATTATTAGGAAACACTATTTCACTAGGAGGGGGTGAAGCACTGGAATGGGTTCCCTAGGGAGGTGGTGGAATCTCCATCCTTAGAGGTTTTTAAGGCCCAGCTTGACAAAGTCCTGGCTGGGATGATTTAGTTGGTGTTGGTCCTGCTTTGAGCAGGGGATTGGACTAGATACCTCCTGAGATCTCTTCCAACCCTAATCTTCTATGATTCTGTGACTTCTGTAGGGCATTTTGCAGTCTAACATGTTTATCTCAGGCATAATCTCCATGCTGCTCAGTATCACAAATGGCTGTTTGCAAACAGGCAACCTGTCAAAGAAAAAGGGAATATTTTACTTTCCCTTTATCTAATTACTGAGCATTTAAGACTATGGAGTCACTTTACCCTTTCAGTTCCAAGACTGAGAAGGATTGATACAGAGTGGCGGCATAATGTCCCTGAAGCTCAGTTGGTTTTCTTCTAGGTACTCCAAGCGTATATTATAAGTCAGCTAGCTGTTAAGGAGATTGCTTGCAGATTTCACACAATTTGCCTGGGGCATTGCACAGTTTATCACTATACACAGAAATATAAAATTGAAGTTGCATAAAGTCTCAATCAAGTGATAGCGTTAGAACGCCTCTTCCAGATCCTTTCATTCATATTCCTGGGAAAACATGCTGCTAATTTTATTGAGCAAGTTCTGATCCTGCAACTAAAGTCCAATGCAAAGGGCTTTGCCTGTAAGAAATATAGAGTCCTCTCCCCTTTAATCCAGAAGTAGGGTCTACTCACCCAGAAAAGCAGAACATGCCCACCTAATGCTGGCTTAGAGAAGAAGTGGATGGGGCCTACTATTCGGACCTCTGTTGGTTTGTTGCCATGTGCATTCCTGCTCAATGTTGAAGAATCCTAGTATATCTTTATATGGGATTGAGAGTTCCATATGTAGGAGTGGATTCATAAAAACAGAAATTCCAGCAATGAAATCCATTCTGTTGAATGGAATCAGGATTGTTCCCAAAATGAAGGTGATTTCAGGAAAAGCAAATGCTGAATTTCCATGTGGATAGAATGGGACAGTCCTCACCTCTTCAAACACGCATCTCAGCAGTTCCAGCTCCTGTCTCAACAAATCCACCTTCACTTCCAGCTCTAGCGGGTAATATATGTGCATGAAATCAGGTCCCGGGTATTCTAAAACAGTGATTTTTTATATATCAACCTTTTTTCATCTGGGGACCCCTACACATTTTTGAATGGAACTGTGGACCCCTTTGGAAATCTTAGACTTAGTCTGCAGACTGAGGTCCATGGACCAGAGGTTGAAAACCACTGTTCTAAAATGATTCCCATTCAAACACTGAACAAAATGGAAGCCGTGGCAAAGCTAGCAGTCGTTTTGACCAGACTTTTGAAGCATGATGTCTCCAATTAAGACGTGTCCTAGAGATGCTACAGTTTCTTCCAGAATGAAATCAAATGGCTCCAAAGCTAATGGGGACAAAGAGGTGTGTTTAGAACGTGAGGTGGGAAACTGAGTCACAAACCTGCCCAGTTTTTGTTTTAATCAGGTGTTGCCTTTATTTATACAATTTCAGACAGAATTATTGTCCCTTATAGTGGCTGAATGCATATTTATGCCAGACAATAAACAGATAAGACAGAATAGGTACAGGGCCCAAGTTACCTCATACCGGAGCACCAGGATGTTCTCCTGCACTCCATGATGCTCGCTGCCTCCTCTGGTCCCTGGGTTTGGTCCTTCAGTCCTATTCCTCCACTTTCTGGTATGGTGTTTCTCCAGTCTGGGCCTTGTCCACCAGGGTCTTCTTATGTATTTCCTCACTACATATTTCTTAGCCTCTCTCTAATCAGCTTTGTTAGGCACGTTAGGTGCATTTCTTATGCAACCCATGCAATACGCATGCACAAGTGTTGATGTGCACAATTTTTGCTGTTTAGACAATTTCTATGTCAGTCTGTTTCAAGTCATCCTGCCCTTAGGTTTTCCCAGTCAAAAGGGCTTCTTGTCATTACAGGCTTAGGTATTTCTTTATCACCAAACTTCCAGCACAGGATGTTACCTTCGTCCTGTCAGCAATAACGTCTTTTGAAGCAAATCTACATGAGAGGAGCACTGGCAAAACCACAAGCAGGCCAGCAAGGCCTCAGCCTTATTAACACTCATTCACTATTAGTAATTATACATGATTAAAGTATAACTAACAAAGCCCTTAAGCATACCATTTAGCAATTCATCATCTTTATATTTCAATGTTATAAGTCAGCATATGTATGTTATCTGACCATACCCCTTAGTCTATTTGGGAGAGCAGTTGGAGAACATTCTATGACTCTTTTAATGCCAACATTTCTTTATCTTCTGCAAACATGGGTTTTTCAGCGGACTTTTGTCCCTCAAAAGTCCAAAGCCTTATGTGTGTGAATACTTTGTTAGCAATCATCCCTGTTACAACTGGGAGGTGTTTGTGTTTTAGGGCCTTGATATTTAGTTGGTTTTAATGGTATCCCAATAGGTGCAATCTATCTAGCGGTCTATTACCAGTGATTTAAAAAATCACATTAAAGGAGCTAGGGTCTATCTGTCTTAGGTACTTAGTGGCTCCCATTATCTGAGTCTGAGCCCAATCTAGTCCTGTGCACCAACCCATCGTCCTCTTCTCATTCAAATCTCTCCCGTACCCTACTGCTCCTGCAATGCCCACATGAAATGTATTTATTTACAGATTCATATCTTTTGCCACTTGACTGTCTCACCTTCTCCAGCACCACAAACTCATTCTCTGTAGCCTGTTGATTTCCTCCTTGTCTCTGGTGGGAAAGAGCAGAGTCGGTGATCTGGTCAGACTCAACAACCTCTATGGCAAATATGATTTAGTTGGGGATTGGACCTGCTTTGAGCAGGGGATTGGACTAGGTGACCTCCTGAGGTTTCTTCCAACCCTGATATTCTATGATTCTATGAACAATATATTTCCTTTCCAACCTACAATTCAGGCCTGATTCCTCTACTCCATTTCCCCTTTGGTGAGATTCCACTGAAACTGATGAAGTTAAAATGGCACCAGATGGTAGTAATGCAGTAGATCAGTGGTTCTCAAACTTTTGTATTGGTGACCCCTTTCACATAGCAAGCCTCTGAGTGCAACCACCCTTATAAATTAAAAACACTTTTTAAATATATTTCCTAACACCATTGTAAATGCTGGAGGCAAAGCGGGGTTTGGGGTGGAAGCTGACAGCTCATGGCCTCCCATGTAATAACCTCATGACCCCCTGAGGGATCCCGATGCCCAGTTTGAGAACCCCTGCCGTAGAGAATCAATCCTGAGATCTTTAATATTACATTTTGCCATATTTTATTTGAGGAATTACATTCGAAACACTTAGGAAAAGTGGCCCATGTGGACGGAGGGTTGATATCATCATAGGAATTTTGCAGGAGAATTGAAGTTGATTGAGAGGCACATCTGGCTCCAAGCTTGAGTGAAGAGAAAAGAAGGCCAATGCTGCTAAACCAACAAGGAGAGTGGAAGAAGTGGCTTAGCTCATATAACCTCTCATGTAATTCCAACCTGCAAAAGAAGCCTGAGATCAATGCATAGAGAACACAAAGAATTAGGAGTGTACTAATAAACTACAGGAGTAACAAACACGGGGACTTTTCAAATAAGACTGAAGAATTGAGCTGCTAGTGACTATGACAAACTGAGCAAATATGAAGCTTCTTAATTGAAAGGTCAGTATAATTAGTGATGGAAGATGATGCTACACTGCAGGTCAATTGTATTAACAATGCCAGCCCGAGACAGCTTAGCAATGACAATGGAATTCCTCGGGCACAAGATAAGTGAATAAGAGAGGAAGGGCTGTGGATAACTGCCTATCCAAGAGACTATCCAAAATAACTGATGGATAATTTCTTACTTCCACTTGAGCTGATCCACAAGCTGCTTTGTGGCATGCTCTTTACTTACCAGTCATTCTCTGTTGCTTAAGCAAACGGTCAAACGGCTTCCTCAGCCCACAGAGGTAATTCTCACCGCGCAGCCCGAGATTTTTCCAGACTAACGTGCTCTTGCAAGATGTTCCACTTGGTCATCAGCAACTTGTTCTACGGCTCCAGCAGTCTGACGTGTACACCGAAATCCAGGAGTACTTATAATGGCAGACTTCATCACCAACCTGTCCTGTACCTCTCTTGAGCACCTCAACCCTTTTTCCCATGCTGCTCCCTATGCAGGGGAAAGCTCCCTGCCCAAATTGTAAAGCTGCCACCTGGTCCTCCTTTAAATCGGTCTTTAAACCCTGCCTTGGTCTTCATGCCTACAAATAGCTATTGTCTGGCATTGGTTAAGCAGAAGGGAGGTGGGGCTGGTGTTTTTCCGCTAAAACCAGTTCATTTCATGCCGTAGCATTCTGTCTGAGACCTGGGGCAGATTTTTAAAGGTATTAATGTACCTAACTCCGACTGAAAGGCTCTTTGAAGATCTGCATCTTTAAGTGCCTAAATGCCTCTAAAAAGCAGGCCCTTAGACGATATGGTCTTTGGGGAATTACTGACTTCTTTGTTATTCCCCTGTACAGCACCGAGCACAGTGGGGCTGTTTTTCTTTCTTGGGGTTTTCTAGGTGTTACAATAATAATATTAATAAATAATAAAAATGGTGTATCCATGAAAGAACTGAATGCAAGAAAACAGAAAGACAGCTATGCTGTCCTCTTTAATTCAGGAATTGGGGGTGGGGGGTAGATACTTGTTATTCAAAAAAATTCAAAATCTCAGAATTTTTCATGAATGAAATACTCAGAAATATTTAGACCTTATGGAAATGTTTTCTTTTGATAGGGGTGAAACATGTTGTTTCCACTTCGTAGATTGCATTATATAGTTTATGATAGTGAAAACGATAAGGACAAACCATGTTGTTTTGACTATCAAAATGAAACATTTTGCTCATTTCCTGCTGAAAATTTTAGTTAAATAGATACGTTCCCATGAAACATTTCAATTGTGTCAAATCAGCATCTTCCAATAGAAACCTGTTCTGCAAGAAAAATTTTGACCAGCTGCATTTGCAACACTAGGAAAATTGCAATATAGTCTTTGGTGCTTTAAATATGTTTTAAGGATGACTGCAAGTGAGTATAATCCATACACATTATTGTTATTTATTTCCAAAGGGTTAAGTTCTGCAGTGGCACGGTCTATGGGTGTTCTCCAGTGCCACTGAAGTTAATGGGAGCCTTTCCATTGATTTCACTGGGTTCTGTTGGGTGCTTGCGGTCTATCTCAGAGAAGGGTTGGGAAACATATTAATTACTAAAAAAGAAAAGGAATACTTGTGGCACCTTAGAGACTAACCAATTTATTTGAGCATGAGCTTTCGTGAGCTACAGCTCACTTCATCAGATGTTTACCGTGGAAACTGCAGCAGACTTTATATACACACAGAGAATATGAAACAATACCTCCTCCCACCCCACTGTCCTGCTGGTAATAGCTTATCTAAAATGATCAACAGGTGGGCCATTTCCAGCACAAATCCAGGTTTTCTCACCCTCCACCCCCCCACACAAAGGACGCTTTTTCACAAAACAGGATCTCAGTTTTGCTCACTTGGCATTAGAAAGATCATGGATCTGAAACCATGGATCAAACCACACATGAACTTGGGGAAATTCGGACCTTGATCCAAATCTGGCTCTGCATTTTATGCACAGGCCATATAGAATAGAGATAAAGTTTATGCTCTCACCTTGGGCAAATTGGTTGCTGAGGTTCTTCCTTTGTTCCCTCTCTGCTGCTAGTGTTTGGTGGTCCTCTGGTCAGCTCCCTCACACAGATGGGATGCAGGAGGCTCTCCTCAGTGCTCACCCGTCAGATATCATTACTTCCGTAATCAGTAGAGCTTCCAAGAGGACCATAAGCTCCAAGTATACGAAGACCTCCAAACTTGCCATAAGCTTGACGCATTCCATAACCACCAAGGTCACCAAGACCATCAAAAGTACCATGTCTTCTAACGTCAGAAAGACACACCCTGCCACAAACACCACCATAGTTTGTGGTGAACTACCAGAGCTACAGTGCCCCTAATGTCCAACACTGAAGCCTCCAGACCCCCTAATCATAGGAAATTCTCCCCGTTCCACCTGAGACTTCTGCTGCCATAGCCACCAGTTCCACCTCTCCTCCCAAAAGACTGATATTCAGAGACTGTATAACTTCTACAGCTGCCTAGACCATAAACAGCAGAATCAGAAGAGAAGACCCGTCATCCAGTAATAGATTTTAATGGATGCATGTCCGGTCATTGTGGCTTATTCAAAGTGGGGCAGGAAAAAAGCAGTTTGAGAAAGTACCACCCCTGACCTGACACCTTGAATCAACCCCTTATACGTGTTTGAGAAGTTGGGCTTGGTTGGATCAGAGAAATAATTCAGAGTCTTCAAGTGCTGGGTTTGCC